CGCGAGCTCCCGAGGCTGGAAAGCACCGCGGGGCGGTGGGGAGCGCTAGGGAAGCTTGCCTCACCCAGGCGCCTTCAGATCCGCACCGCTTATTCCGTATTAGGCAAGCCGAGGTGCCGCACCGGTTCAGTGCTGAGTGCCACTGAACCCAGCTGTAAACCCTGTTTATGCTACAGCCCACGTAAAGTCCGGGGGTGTGGCACCAGCTCCCGAGGCTGGAAAGCACCGCGGGGCGGTGGGGAGCGCTAGGGAAGCTTGCCTCACCCAGGCGCCTTCAGATCCGCACCGCTTATTCCGTATTAGGCAAGCCGAGGTGCCGCACCGGTTCAGTGCTGAGTGCCACTGAACCCAGCTGTAAACCCTGTTTATGCTACAGCCCACGTAAAGTCCGGGGGTGTGGCACCACCTCTCGTTACAGGACCTATGCATGCAAGCAATGGTTGTGCGTAAGCTGCAGCGCTGCCACTTTTTGTCCTCGAGGGACCTCGCTCCTTCCTGATGTTTAGTGTTGTGGCCCTGTCCTACAGCCTTGTGACGCTTTGGTGCCTGGGAATTTTGCATCGTGACAGCTTGGATGGTGTTGTGGAAATGTCAGTGTACCACAATGATGTTTTGCAGGCTGGGAAATAATTTGGGTACCTCAGGCCAAATTGCCACATACAGCGGCTGATGGGCACTTCTGGCCTTAAAGTCTGTGGGTCTGTAAAATTAGGGATCAAAAGTTTGAATGTATCAAGCTGTCTCCAGGTGAGAGTGGGAAAACAAATGATGTTGATAATAGGCATAGAATATCATTTCCCTTCACTCCTACAGCATTATACAGTGTAATATGATTGCATTTGTTGAATATTTTTATATCAAGTGTGGTCTTGATCCTGCAAACATTTTTGCACATGTCATGACCTGGGTTTTCCAGGGCATACATCTTATTCAACACCATACTAGTACAGCCCTTTCACCTCTTTCAGGTTGTGTGTACCCTACTGAGACTATGTTGGCATAGCTATGTTGCCATAACCCTGTAGTGTCAATGAAGCCTACAGCATCAGAGGATGGTTTTCTATCAGTGTAGGAACACCACCTCCCCATGCAACAGCATCTACATTGACCTGCATCTACACTGAAGGTCAGGTTGGCCTAACTACAACACTCAGGGGTGTGGATTTTTCACACCCCTGACTGAGATAGCTATAGCATCTCAACTTTTAAGCACACTTATTTTCCTAAACTTCCTGTCAGGATACTTGCTTGTTCATCCCCTGCAACCCTGACTGCTTTTCCTAACTCGGCTTTCAATAGGGTTGCCAGATATGCAGTTTTGAACCCGACAGTCCAGTATTTGAGCTTTCTGTTTGGGAAACAAATTGAGAAAATATAAATGTCCGGTATTTTCTAAATAAGATGTAATGTAGATTGTGATGTAATGTCAAGTGTGTTTGGTATTTTTGTTGAAACCATCTGGTAACCCTAGCGTTCAAAAGCCCTGGTTCCCTCTTCAAAATTTGTAGGATGACTACATCTCCAACGTCTGGGTTTATACAACCACTAAACTTTTATTTAACCAGCGTAAACATAACAAAAGAGGTAAGTAACTCTTCTATTTCTTGCTCCTAAAGGCAAAGTTCAATCTTATCAGATCCAGGCAGTGCTGCCCTTGGACCCTTCCATGAGCCCGCTCTCTCCTCAAGAGCCAACTCATGACCCTTCAAATTCAAACCCTCAATGTTCCAAACAAGAAATCTGGGTGGAGCTTCTATCCAGGAGTCCAAGCCTCTGTGTCCCATTTACCCAGCCGCATATGTTCTTTTTGACTTGCATCCAGCATTGTAACCCACCATATAATTTCACTTTTCACCTCCACAACCATACTCCATTTCAAGTTAACACAGTCTCTTCTCCACAACTTGCATAACTTCACCCATGAGTATCCTCATTGAACACTAGTCATAAGTTAAACTGCACACCTATTTATGCATCTGCAGGATCAAGGCTTATTTCTCAAAATGCTTCAACGCATTATAACTAGAAAAATAAACAGCTAAGAAAATTAGGAAATCGCAATAAAGGAGAAAAATACATTTCGGGTTAAATTTGGACAAAGATAAAGACTCGCAGTCGAGAGCTTTTAGAGCATGTTGCTATGCAGTTTAAGATAAATTTGGAAATATTCTTATTATGTACAGGTAACATACTAGTTTACAACGTATACTTCTTATGAAGCATAAAATAATATGTACTGCCAAATAACAGATTCAGTGAGCTTTCACATGCTCCTTTTCTCAAAGCTCTTTCAAGGTATTGCATTAATGCATAGTAACAATAGTATACATAAAGGGACCATGCAAATGACATTATGGCATTATACGATTAATCCCATTTTAGTCAAATTAGATTATAATAAGCACTGTGTGCTAAAGACTATTAATGGGAACCTATGTTTCAAAAGCTTCATCATCTCCATGCTTGTCTCCTCCTTGACCCCAATAATAAAAACAGCTTTGCATTCATAATAGCTATTTTCACTTTCAGATTACTTTACAAATATTCTTTGAGGAGACCGAGGGTATTATTTCCATTTCATAGATATGGAAACTGAGACCCACAATGGCCAGTTGACTTTTCCAAAGCTGTAGAGTGAATTGATGCTATACCTAGATTTTGGGGGATCTGGATCAGCTTTCACATCGCACTCCCAGTCAGTACCCAGCCCAGGACACGGAAGCTAATGATCCAATTGGTGGACCACCCGAAGCCTGTTATACATACACTAAGATGCAGCAACTGGATTACAACTCAAGGATTCCTACTATTTAATTCTGTGCTCTGATAACTAGATCATGTCTCTGCCTACGGAAATATATTTGTAGTCATGATTTATTCACATAACTTACACGGTGACTTAAATAAATACATAGATGGGTAAAATAGCCTCATGATCTGTGCAATGTGCCAGGACTGGACTTGCTGTGTGGAGCTCCTCCCAGATTAGTGTATTCTCTTACCTCTTACCTCCTCTTCAGGAAGTGCCAGGCCACTTTGTACCGCTTGGTTGCTTGGTTTGATGGTGAGGTTGCCGTATCAGCTGGAAGTTGGTGGGTATATCTCTGATGGGGCCCCCAACATTGGGTTTCTCTGCTGTCTACCACTGCTGTTGCACTGTCCAGGACTGGTTTTTACTTTGCTTCACAGAACCTCCAGTATGTCTACATCCCTGCCCTCAGCAGGCAGAGGCATAACAGTGCTGGTAGACCCATAGCATGAGCACGCAAATGATTTAGTCCACTGCAGTCCCTTGAAAAGCACTGAATCAGCAATTCCAACCAATTCCCATGTCTTCTCTAATGAATAGGACTGTACCTGAGACAATTCAGCAGAGTTCAGCATCAGGCTCCCCCTGGCCTTAGTGAGAGAGAGCAAAGTGAGACAAAGCAGTTGCTGCTTGGATTAGGACAATTAGCAGTGGCTCTCTACTCCCAAGCACTGTGTCTGAGTGTAGAAAAGAATAATGAAAGGAGGGAAGTCACTTCACATTAATTAGGGAAAATGTCACATGCAGGATTCACAATAATAAAACCATGAACAGAACACGCACCCCAGAGTGCAAGGGCAGTGACTTCTGCCTCATATTCTTGAGTTCTGTATCCAAATGTTCCTTTTCTGTGCCCCTCTCTGCTCCCTCACATTACCCCACTCACAGTGGCCAGTGAGGACCCAGGGTTCAGAGGTGAATCTGTGTGAGTTCACCTCCCACCCAGGGAAGAAGGCACGTTGCTTGTTACACCATCTGAGCACTTGATCTGAGTGGCTGGCCCGCCAGCCACTTGGTCTGCTCTGCTGGCCGCTTGTTCTGCTTGTCACCTTGCTAGCTGCTCATTAGCCAGCCAACAGCCAGTAGTCTTCTGTTGCTGCCTGTTTCTGCACCTCAGTTTTGTGGTTTTCAGCTCTTTACAGACTAGGCAGAAACACTGCCCCAGCACAAGTAATTTCAGCTCTCATTTGAGCACCTCAGTGTAACAAAAGGCTCCTAATAAAGCCTATTTAGCTCTGCCTTTGAGCCATGGTGAAGAACAGGTTAAACTAGATCAAGAACTATTAGGGAAAGTCCACACTTCCTGGCTAGGACCTGTATCCTCACCCTTCTTACTTTCACAGCAGTCTGGCAGTCAGACCCCTGATTTAGCAAGTTCCTGTCAGCTCACGGTGACCTCTCTCTCCATCAGGACAAGCTCAGCACAGTTTTGCTCCCCCTTGGCCACCCAGTGACAATAACAACATTGCACACCTCCTGAATTCAATACTAGAGTGATCTGTAACCTAACACCAGCCACAGCCAAACACTAGGAGCTCCCAACTTCTGTCTGCTAGATACCTACACAGAGTGTGTTTGTGTTTACTCCTGCAACCTCTCTCTCTCCTGAACTAGCTGTCACAGGATAGTTCATTCAGACCCTGCTTACGGTTAAATAAACCACCTATGACTGAAGCAGCACCCCTTGTCTCAGAAAGGCAAGTGAAACAGAAATTCAGTTGTAGCAGCGTGGG